CGGAAGCGCTTCAAGAAGAAAAAATAGACTTGAACCACACTTGAATTTGAATCATGAACCTTGGAAATCAGGTCAAGTTTGAACGCATTGCATCCCATAATTAGGAACGTTTTGTTGCCGACACTAAAAGCAAAGCCAAAAAGGTCAACCCATGCCCTGCTTGAACAGTAATCTGCCTTCCCCAAAATAACAGCTGGCAACAGTTTTGTACTGCAATGTAAACTGTGCGAGCAAGTGTCTCTCGGAAAACCCCCATCTTGCCTTCTGGACAGTTTCGTGCTCGGACTTCGATGACTGCTTAATTGTTTTGACATGGGGGTGGAGCAAGGGAATCTCCAAGTGTGTAAGATGGAGAGGAGACGTCGCAACTTTCAAAATAGAAGCTCTTTGACATTGATTCGGAGTTTGAGATTGACTTCAAGAAAGTAGAGGGGCATCGACACGGTGACAGTCATTCAGTGCAGGGGGCAAGTAAGACAGAGAGACAGAAACAATGAAGGGAAAGAAAATAAATAGGACCTGCCAGAGGTGCCCCTTCTCAAGTGTTGTTCAAATGTTGTATCTGGTGGCTAGTGGACTGTAATTATTGTTTCGCTCCCGGTGACGAAGATCGTTAGGCTACTTTCTGTTGCAGGTACAAAATTGGGGTTTACATCTGAAAGAGCAGCTTTAAAATTTGGTCCAAGACTGCATTTGGGCTCTTTGACAGGGTTGTCCATCAGGCATGGCAAGGAAAGGGTTAAAGTGTTGTACTTTGGGGTTCAGTTTCCAGCTTTGTCAGAAAGGCTTTGTGTCCTTAATGTTTTTCTTTAAAAAAATATGTTTATGCTCCTATCGACATAGTTGAGATAACCTTATAGGTGGGCTTCCGATCCTGTCATGGCCAACCCTGACTGAGAGGGATACGTGCAACATCGCAGCAGAAAGACCCAGACACGCGATGGAAATTTCTCCCCACACAAAAACCGAACTCGGGTCTCCTGTGTGTGTCGACTGTCGACAGCGAAGCGCCTAACCGCAACACCACAGACGCCTCTGTATCCTTAATGCTAAACTAACGTTGTGATTGCTTGAAATGTTACTCGCTCCTATCCTCATACCCCAAATTCTTACCCCCTCCCCCCTCTCTCTCTCTCGCTCTTTCTGTCTGTCTGTCTGTCTGTCTGTCTGTCTGTCTGTCTGTCTGTCTGTCTGTCTGTCTGTCTGTCTGTCTGTCTGTCCCCCCCCCCTCTCTCTAGATGTATTCCTCAATAATATGTCACGGCAACCATTAAAACGCAGTATTTTGCTACCTACCTCTAGGTCGTGACCGTTACTTCAAAGAACCCTGGTCCACGGAACTGAATCTCTCTTAAACAGCGAACAATTAACAATTTCCAGCGCAACCAAAAATATTGACTCCCCACCCATTTCTTGTCCCTCCATCGACTCACACGAACAATGTAAGTGGAGTTGATTGAGAAACAAGGTCGTTTGTTTGAATTTATAACTTGTATAGTTTCGTCTCGTACGCTGGCAGTCTGTGTATATAAATAAAGGTTGTGTGTGGGGGGGGGGGGGGGGTTGCAAGAAGAAAAAAGAGGGGAGAGGGCGATGGCGTGTTATTCCAGTATGCTACAGACTTCTAATTGTTGGAAAACTGACGTTTTTGTGTGACCCAGTTATATTAACAATAATGACAACACAACAGTAAGACTAACAACAAAAATTAAATGTTGATAAACGTTCAAAAATAGTAATGATAGTAAGTAAATAAGTGCATTGGTTTAACGATCCCATCAGCACTTTTATAGTAATTATAGAAATGGAGTATTCGCATAAACCTTGTTGGACATCAAATTGTATTTTCCAGTTATATGATATATATTTCTAGTTACTGGTTTTGAAAGAAGGAAAATTGCCTTTATCCTTTTTCATACTTTTGCGTTTAAAGAAGTAAATGTTTTCAGTTGTTGCTGTAATTTCATTCAAGTATAGGCCCACCTATGACAGCGCCATCCTCAGACATATTTAATAATCTGTATCCTTTCTAAGTATTTTATTGCTTACAATAGTACTTTTCCGACTTGGGTAGACCAGTCATATTCCTTGACGTGCAGACTTCTCCCACTTGTTTTTTCCCCCGTTGAGATCGACATAGTCATTGTAAGAGCAAGGTGGATAAATAGTGGTGAGATTTAGCCATTTTGAATAAGCAGCAGATGTATTATATTTTTTAGTAGCAAAAATGAAACTGCAAATTCTTTCTCTATTTAAAAGAAACATAAGATAATAACAAGTGACAATATCAATACTGGTACTTGCCTTTGGTAGTGTGAGGCAAAAATGGTTCATCTCTATTTCTTTAAAATGTTTGAATTAAAAAATTCCTTTGTCATGCTCCATAGACAAGCATTGGAACAATTTCCCATTTTAACACTAAGCTTAGCTCTGAATGCGTTTTTCTTTGAAATGATGAGAATTAAATTTCATTTTTATTTACGAATAGAACATGACATAGTCTTTTATTTGCGCACCAATATTTACGCTTCAAAGCCTGATATTTCTGTTTTGCAATGTATGCGTCCGACGTTTTCGCCCAGTGTCAACGAGTTGCTTTGAAGTATGCTTCAATAGAATTTCATTATTTATCAATCCATATTTTGCCTGTTGGTTACATGCAACTATTTAGATTTTTTTTGTTACATACAAACCCTCTAAACGTGTTGGAAGGACAGTGCTGTACACATTAATATTATCGATTAGAAAAAACTATTTACACAAAACAGAGGTTAATAACAATCAAGATTTAGTATGCCAATCGGCCATAATATTATACAAGATGAAAAGATTTTAAAAAATCTTAAGGCATGTGTTCATGCATGAAACAATTTTACATACAACTTGACGAAGTAAAGACTCCCTGCAATAGTGCTCTATTATTCCAATCATCTAACATTGACAAATCTTGTAGATTATGCCTTTAGTAGTCCATCCATTAAACAAATCTAGTCGCAAATTCAAGGAACAAACTCAAGAAGACTGACAATTATGTAATGTAAGGACCCAGGACATGTCTTTATTCTTCACAAAACTTGAATTGCAGGGCTTTGTGAAGACAATTTTATTTCTGAGTAAGCGTGTTCTATGTAAACGTTTGAAGAGTTCAGAATTCCCTGGTACGCAAAAGTACTCATTATGTTTCTTTTTCAAAAATCGATTTTATCTGTGAAGCTCTCAAGCATAGCCCCAGGCGTTCAAAGATTTCTAACCGGCGTCTGTGGTGTAGCTGCTAGGCGCTTCGCTTTCGCACACAGGAAACCTGTGTTCGATTCCCTTGTGAAGAGAAATTATTATCGGATATCTCTGTCTTTGTGCTCTCTGTTGGGATTCTGTATCCCACTGAGCCTGCGTTGGCCCTGGCAGGCAGGGTTGGAAGCCGCCTTCTTAATGATCTAAATTGTATCGATGGGGCTGTAAAAACATCTACATGGAAAATGTTTACAACTTAGATTGCGTTTCTGTATGTTTGGTGACTTTTTATTTTACTTTTACTTTCACACGTAGAGGGCGTAGACTGACACCCCAGATTTTGTATATTTCTACTGTATTATCTGCATGGACCTTGCATTCACAAACGTAAATGCACACGACAGGACAAAAAAAAATCCAAAACGGCTATACATTTGTGTGCAACAAGCACCGCCTCCTGCCTCTCTCCTTCTTTCTCTTTACTGCCCCGTCCCTTTTCTGTCTCCCCTCCCCTCTCTCTCTCTGTCTCTCTCTCTTTCTCCCCCTCTCTTTCTCTCTCCCTCCCTCTCTCTCTCTCTCTCTCTCTCTCTATCTCTCTCTCTCCCTCCCTCTCCCCCTCTCTCCCTGTCTCTTTCTCACTCTCTCACTCTCCCTCACACTCTCTGACTCTTTCTCTCTTTCTCTACCAACTCTCTTGGTTTTCTTTTTCCCTTTCTATCTGTGCGCCCCCCCCCACCTTTCTCTCTTTCTCGCTCTCTCTCTCTCTCTCTCTCTCTCTCTCTCTCTCTCTCTCTCTCTCTCTCTCTCTCTCTCTCTCTCGCTCTCAATTATGTATTTGCCGAGTGGTATAATGTTATAATGTGTGGATGTAAGGGCCAAAAGCCTTTCAAATCAATAAAACCTTGAAACATAACATCAGATATATATATATATATATATATATATATATATATATATATATATATATATATATATATATATATATATATATATATATAATCCCTCGATTCCGCGTAGCGACCAAAAAATTTTCTTCTCTAAAATTGTCTCCTTTCACATCCTTTCCTGATCTCTAACAATGTTCTGTCGTCTGCTTTCATTTCCACTTTCTGCCCCCACCCCCTCACCTCCTTTGCCCCCTCCTCTGGGCTCCTGACTCTTTCTGCAGCCTTTCTACTGCTACTCCTTGGCTCCTCCTAACTGCTGTCTTTCTGCCACACCCCTGATCTTCTGGTAGGAAAGATCTACACCTAGCCTTCTCGGACAAGGGCGAAAAATCTCGGAGGGCCCGTGTGCAAGTTGCGCACGTTAAAGATCCCTTGGTGGTCTAAAATCGATAAGAGTAGGCTTCGGCGCCACCCGAGCAAAATTCAAAATTTCCTACCAACGAAAAAGTATTAGGTGTGTCCCGCGCGCTCATATGACCTTATGCAGTTGCGGGCTCCGTAAAACCCTATACTAAACAAACAAAACAACTCTCTCTCTCTCTTCCACCCTCTCTGCCTCTCTCCATCTCCCTCCCCCCTCTCCTAAAATGCATAAAGAAAGAAAATGAATAAGCTCTCTTTCTCTCTCATTCATTCTTTGTCGCCCACTCAGAAACAATTCACAGAAACACTCAAACACTCATTCGGGTAAAGTTACCACACCCACCCACACGCATGCACGTGTACCCAGAAATCAACAAATAGTAGATTACAAAGGCACATGATATGGAAAATCTCCTTTGCTTCATGCCCCTCTTACAAACCAACTGTGTTGCCCGCCAGGTTCGACAACCCATGCTGACCTCCATGGCGTGTGCTGCCAAAGACTGCAATGACGGTACCAGGCAGATGGTTTGCCTCTTTGACAGCAAAGTGGACAGAACTTATCGGAGGTCCAACGCTGCCGCCTACAGGTGATTCGTGTTGCAGTAAAGTTGCTGTTTTGTGATCGTCTCCATCATTGTTATTGCTGCTGCTGCTGCTGCTGCTGCTGCTGTTGATGTTGTTGTTGTTATTGCTGTTGTTCATCATCGTTTTTGTTGCTGTTGCTGCTGTTGCTGCTGTTGCTGCTGTTGCTGCTGTTGCTGCTGTTGCTGCTGTTGCTGCTGTTGCTGCTTCTGCTGTTGTTGTTGTTATTGTTGTTGTTGTTGTTGTTGTTGTTGTTCTTCTTCTTCTTCTTCTTCTTCTTCTTCTTCTTCTTCTTCTTCTTCTTCTTCTTCTTCTTCTTCTTCTTCTTCTTCTTCTTCTTCTTCTTCTTCTTCTTCTTCTTCTTCTTCTTCTTCTTCTTCTTCTTCTTCTTCTTCTTCTTCTTCTTCTTCTTCTTCTTCTTCTTCTTCTTCTTCTCATTGTTAATCATTTGGTGGTGGTGGAGGTAGTGATGATGATGATGATGATGATGATGATGATGATGATGATGATGATGATGATGATGATGAATAAGATGATGATGACACCAGTAACTCCACCATATGTGCCCCAAAAATGACGAGCGCCTGATACCACCGTGTTGTAATAGTCAATGCTTGTTTCGTTTCTGTCCACCCAGGGAACGGCCAAGAAGAAGACGCTACCGATCCAGATACGCCCACCGGCCCATGTAATCACTGGCCACAGTTGTTCATTAAGCATGATATAATAGTATACACTAATCTAGCACTCTTACCATTATCACTTCCGGTACATAATAAAGACATAATGCTTCTTGTAAGGATGCTTCTTTGAGGTGGATGGATGTTTGATTATTCAGGGTCGATTGTTGTTATGAGTGAATAAGGTATCTATTTTGACATAAATCTGCTGGCCATTGTTTTGTTGTTGTTGTTTTTTTGCTTGTTTGTTTTGTTTTGCCTTTTTCAAGCTGGATTTGAATGTCTGTTTTTTTTCGTCTCCGGAGACTGTAGAGTGAGGTATAATTTTAGTGACCTGGTATTCACATTAAACTATTTTCCGGAGTAACCCCTGGGGTTTCAGATTCGTTTGATCTCTGTCGAGGTCGGTCAACAAGGGAGCACACTGAAAAGAGCTTGAAAAACCGTCAAAAGTGTTTCTAAAGGGGAAGAGAAGGTAGTAAATGGCAATTATAGTACACTTACTGTCAGGTGTACGGTAGCTTAAATGTAACGAGTGCCATGATAGTATCGTTTGTTCTTGAATCAAAGCTTGTTGCCAACACTTTAAAGAAGTAAGTGATATACTCTTTTGACCTCTAGAGGAACGTGGTGAAGTGATAGAATCTCAATGACACTATTGTACCTTCTTCTAATTTTTATATTTGGCTTTTGTTTGGTAGATCTAGTGGTTTGTTCAGAAAACCCCTAGTCTACACCTGGCGTGTATCGCTATTATGGTGTTTAACCCAGGATGGGAGAGAATGGGGATGGAGAGCGAGGCGTATTGTGTTGTTATTGATGTTAAGGCAAGATAAAGATTCAAAAGATACGGAATATAATATATGTTTAAATAAAATAATGTCATCACATGACATTCTCTACCCCCCCCCTCCCTCTCTCTCTCTCTCTCTCTCTCTCTCTCTCTCTCTCTCTCTCTCTCCCTCTCTCTCTCTCTCTCTCCCTCTCTCTTCCTCGCTTTCACTCTCTCGTTCTCTCTCCTTTCAGTTTCATCTTTTTCTATTCCTGTCATTGATACACTTAGTTTTTTTTTGTCAGTACGCATCACATGGTGACTTCCAACATGAAACAGATACAAAATGAAATATGAGAATGAACAGCTTTCACTCCCTTTTGTGACACAAAATATTCAAAGATATCAACATATTGCGTTTTCTGTTTGTCTGTCTCGGGCGCTCCGTTAGCTCAGTTCGTATCAAGCTGGACTATGACCAGATGGCCTTCTCTCTCTCTCGCTCTCTCTCTCTCTCTCTCTCTCTCTCTCTCTCTCTCCCTCTCTCTCTCTCTCTCTCTCTCTCCCTCTCTCTCTCTTTCTCTCTCTCTCTTTCTCTCTCTCTCTATGTCTCTCTCTATCTATCTATCTTTCGCTCGTTCGTTGGCTCGTTCTTTTTCTCACCCTCTCACTAGTAGACTACCACGTCACCACTCACTGACAAATAACACTGGAACTCTAGGGACAAAATTAGTGCAGGACATAATAAGCGCGAAATAAAATAATATGATCAATTTATTTCGCATTACTCAAAGTAAAAAAGTAATTTCCAGTTCCTCTTATAACTTGTTTAAGATAACTTGACTGCCCACTGCGCACAATTCCCTTGTACACTGGTTTCTCTAAATACTATCTAAATTATGCAATGCGTTGTTTGAGACCCTGGATGCTATTTCCATACATTTTTAGATCTTACATGTTCATTTTCTATAAGTATTTGGACAATTTTCTTTTATATTGGGTTCTTGAACTACTATCTAAATCAAGTGGTGTATTCTGTATCGTGCTTTTTACAAAATGTTATAGATTTTACATTTTCATTTGCTATGAATGTGTCCACCAAGCAATTACGCAAAATACGAGAACGCTTATTAGTTATTAGTAGTCTTATCATCACGTACAACTTCTTTCCGAGTGCAAAGTGTATCTTATTTTTCACATTTTGAGTGTTTTTGAGGTTTGAATTTGGAATTCTAATTACTCACCCAGAGTTAGTTCAATACTATTCTTTTACTCTCTAGTTTGTTTCTGCTTTTATAGTTTTTCGTTCATAAATCTTTCGATGTAAGAATTAACTGATACCATGTCTGTTATTGTCAAGGACCAAATAGGATTTATACCTTTGAATTGGTAGCAGTTTCCACTTTCCTATTTCTTTGATTCAGACATTGTCACTTTCTATAATAGACAGACCAGGCTTAACTTTTGATGGAAGTTTCGAATGTCTTTAAGGCCGAACGCCTATTTTTCTCTTTCACTGTTTTTATTTCTTTTATTGCAGTGCTTTTGAATACGTGGGTAATAGGCTGTCATTATTAATGGGTACCAACTGTTTTTTCATATCCTATTAGTATAATATATGTATTGCATAACTTGGTTTCAGGCGTATCTGATTGTGAATACTTTGTGTGTGGATGTTCGTGTGCTAAATATGAAGGAACGTAAGTTTTAAAAGAGTACGGTTAGGCTATTTCATGCTTGGTATCTCTTTGCACTGTGAGAAATAGTTGCTTGTTGTTTCCTCTAGGACCCACAGAAAGGCAAGGAAAAGACATTGGCTTAATTGGACAAAGTGTTGTTTATTACACTTGAATAAATGCACGCAAAACTCAACGAAGTGAAGCAGTTTTACGTCTGGTTGAGGATAACAACATACCTCAAGCGCTTTAGGTAGGAGCAAGCTGAAGTATGGCGAAAGTAGGACATGTTGGGTGTTAATATATCAATAACATCGTTATTATATTGGCAGTATTGGTTGGGTGTTGAGACGCCATACCCCTGTCAAAAAACACACCAACACATGTCATAGATCGTTCTTAATTAAGAAAGAGTCCCTGATACAAAAATGGCAATAAATGTATGCTCAGATAAACTGCTCGGTGTAAATGCATATTATATATTATATTTCTATATATGACTGTTGTTAAGGGGTACAATACTATGTCTTGGGAAACTATGCGTTCCTACAATAATGATGTCCTAAGACATTCTAGGCACTTTATGGTCGGCGCTTAACAAACGATTTAGAAACATGACGTGCTGCTTTGTATTTTGATGTATAAAAAGCAAAAAGACTCCGCCATCTTTATAAAGCATTTATTTTATTGTATCACAATGTGCTGAATATGAAATGGAAAATATGATAATTGAAGTATACTTTGGATTTTTGTGTGTATTCTTTACCTCGATAATAAAAATAATCGTGTATTGATGAAGCCTGAAAGAATTTCCTTTTTTCCAGAAGAGGTTTTGGGAACATTCTTTTTGCAGTGTGCTGAGTTCTCTTTTACATAGATGCTGATATTATTTAGAACCAAACTGAAAAGCAATGCGTAGGAGTAATTGTATAAGATATGTCTCTCTTCTATGGTAAAGCCAGTGTTAGGGTTTAACTTCTTGAGTACAACGCGGCAGCTCAGCTGGTATACGACATAGCTCGGTGGTTGTTCACAGTTACAACAAAGATCAAAGAAACCACAGAATATTCATCTGATCTATAATCAAACTATGCTTTTTTTGCCTACACCGTTCATTTCTACTCAATTTATTGTTTATGTTATACAAATAGGTTAAATAGAAGAGGAGTTATTACAGCGAATAACAAAGTTTGCTGTGTACAGTCTTTTGAGTACCAAAAAGTTAACTCCCCTTTCTACTCTGTTAGGTTATCTAAGGGGCTGAACCACCGAATTTAATATCTATTTCCGATAAAACCGAGTCAAGTGGGTCTTGAACAACTCTACTAAAGAACCTGGGCTTTAAAAAGTCAACATTATATAAACTGAGCGAACGGCTATTTGAGAAACGAAATGAAGCGTCACCAATAGCGCAAATGGAGACTCCTTTTTAAAAAACAACAACAACAACAACAAAACATAAACCAACTGGAAGCTACAATAAGGGCGTGTCAAAAGTATTATATTTTGAAAGCAGAGTTAAAGACTGTTTTACATGTGGAGTCCCTGTTTGGCAAACGAAACAAAACATCGTCACCACACAAGAGATGACACATTATTCTTCGAAACGAGTAGCTCACGGGATGATCATTTCTAGAAAGTGACGTATCTGGTACACAGTACAGTATTTTGGGATAGTAGATCATAGAATCATTCTAAAGAAAGGTTATAAGGGTGGAAGATTTATCGATGCTACCTCTTCCTTCACAGCTGCTTTACTAGGCCGTTTGAATTCATAGCAACGCAATCGTTCTTTCCTAGAAATGTTCACAAATTGACATTAGTTTTCTAATTTCGTGTTAGCTTTCATTAAGTATTTTGTTCTTGGGAAAACAAGGTCAAATCAACGGCTTTGTTCCTCTTCCATACTGTACGTGCAAACTTACTTGGTATGCTTTTTATGATCCGCCGTAGCTGATACTTCCAAATACAACACAGCAACGTACGTGAAAGCCTTCTCCTTGACACCGAAAGCTGCACCAAGAAAAATGCGAAAAAACCCCACCAAATCAAAATACCAAGAGTAGTGCCAAAAATTGTATAATACAAGAAAGATATCTATCATCTCTTTGAAATATGAAACAAAATGTATATATTATATTCCATTGCCTACAAAGCTATAACTATACTTTTACACGTAGGAGGTATTTTTAAGGACCGTCGAGTCTTTCGTACACAATCTTTGGTGATGCTTCACTAAGCTCCCACTTCCTCCATCACAAACCTTCCCCTTAAAGATCCGTGCCCGAACAAAACCTATTACGAGATGCAAATGGCCAGAACAGCCCGTTTTGAAGTTTCTTTTGAATAAGCTCATGTTTAAGTCTCCTGGGTTCAGTTACTTCCATTAATGAAATGCCAGGACAACTTTAAGATGTTATTTTGGTGAGGAGGAGGGAGAGTGAATGACAGGGCTTTTCACATCTTCTATTCAGGGAGATATACTGTGCTGATTTTAGGCTAAGACTTATAAATGACCTAAAATACGATAAGGCGTCTTCCGGTATTCAATTAAAGATAATTTTAGCGCACTGAAGACATGCTTGTTGAGCAAACCACCCAGAATGCTGGCCAATAGCAGTAACAACAAAACCATGTTCTTCTGTAAAGGTCTTGTGTCTCTTGATAGGAAAAAAGGGTTTCAACACCTACATAAAACCTAAAACTTCGCTGGCGAACATTTGACAAACACTATCTTCAACAGGCAAGGCCAGGATTTTG